AAGTACATCTGTCTAAACTCATTCGCTGGGCCAGAGCTTCCTGCTCACAGAAATAAAGGACGTTTCACTCCATCAGTCCAGAAACAAATTTGTGTTTGCCTTTCTGGGCTATCACAAGTCTGTGGTCTGATTACTAGACAAACTTATTACACCAAAAAAGCAGGGCTCACTTCAGAGCTGGATGTGACTGTTCAAGGCCTTGTCGTGATGCGCTACCTCGAGATTAAGAGGAAGCCTGAGCAGACAAACTTTAATTCACACTGCTGCAGTGACGAGCGATTGGAGAGCTCTAAGGAAGCTAGAAAGGATTCTGAAGGGATAACTAGATCCATGAACAGTGCTCCCACAGGATTGTCCCTGTTTACACTTGCCTTTCCGTCGTGTACGATTTTTATATTGTGCCAGCGGTGATCTGCAAGGTTAACGTTTCGTGACAGCTGCAGGAGAAGGTCCCCAGAGCTGTGCTTCACAGTGAGCGACGGGACACCTCCCGAGAGCTCTGCAAGGAAAGACTGCTTGGATAAGCATTTCCCCACAGCAACCCAGGCAAACTCCATGTCCCAGATTCCAGTCTGAGGTGGTCTTTAGACAGGGGAAGGAACTTAATTTAAAAAACGCAGCTTCTAGTACAGTGACAAGAAATAGCCTGGGAATCCTGGCAAATTATTCAACATTCTCCTTGTTTTTTTGAGAATAACTTTCCAAACTATTTAAAAACCCTATTAACTGTAAGCAGAATTCCAAGTCACACAAACACAAAGAAAAATATTTCTTAAGTTTTTAACCTAATGCAATGAAATTTTCCTTTTCTCCAGGCTGTCCGCGTGCCACTGGTCCCTGGTACAGCAGAAGGCCATCAGCCACATCAGTGATGAACTCTAAGGAGATACGGCTCTCAAAGCAAGGCTTAAGAGGAGGGAACCAGGCATAACCATGGCCTGTGAAGCTGTGTTTTGTCTGCTGGCAGTCTGGTCCATGGAAATTTGCAGGACATTTGCACCTGAAAAAATAATAATAATTTTCACCTTCCAAGCAGAACTCATGAGGGCCTTTCCCACAGCAGAACTCCCCACTCTAGCCACAGCAGCCCACGTGGCTCAGGCACTAATATGAGTTAAATAAGCACTAGTAAAGCACCTCAGTCACAAAATGTTCTAATGATTTCTTTGTACACAAACACCAAATCACACTATGTCTGTGCATGAATAATTTCATGAATAAATAATCAAGCCTTCGGAGTACAGAAAGCACCTGGAAACTTCTGTTCTCTTTAGTAGAATTAAAAAACAACATTTCATTAGGCCTAATTACCAGCTTGATTAAAAAGACTTCATAATCTTGATAGCGAAACCAATGGAAGGGTGCAAGAAGGCAAAAGAAACCAGTAAATGTTGGCTTTGCCCATCCAGAAGAAGTAAGAGGAGGGATGAGAGGCACTTACTGGCTCATTTCCTTTATACTAGGAAGAATTGATGTCCAGGGTGCAGTCTTTATTTGTTAACATTAGTGACTCAAAAATGAACAAAGAGTGAGCACAGCAGGACAACAACAAGCACTGTAAGAGGGAAACCAAAGGAGCAACAGAAATGACAAAGGAAATAGAAAGGGAGAACAGCTGGGCACCTATTCCTTTTTTTATTTCCCATAGTTTGCCAGCATCTAATGAGAGCAGACTAAGAAGAGCTAGTCAGGGAAAAAAAAAGATTATTCATGAAAAGATGGAAAATAGAGCAAAAGACTTAAAACTGAGGAAATGATGGGTGACAGAACACACTGCCAAGCATTTCCAGGGCAGCAAAACTTCCCTGGTTGGTCACATCCAAACAGCAATTGGGACTCATTTAGACTTTTACCACATCAAAGACTTTTGCAGCTTCAGTCTGAGTCCTAACACCCCCAATAAGAGCTGCTAGACAGTTATTTCTGCTTTCCTATGTAGGGATATTTCTTTGAAGCAAACATGCTTAGGTCTTGCTTTCCAAAATGGTGCCAGGTTCATGCATAGCTACTACAATCCCATCTTGGTTTAATCTTCATGCTATTTTTGCTTGTGCGGTGCCCTTTTCTGAGGAAAAAAAGGGAGCAAGGAACATCGGGAAGAAGTGACACAGTTAAGATGTGGAGTCTCCTTCTCTGGAGATCTTCAAAACCCACTTGGACACAAGCCCTGTGCCACGTGCTCTAGGTGACCCTGTGTGCAGGGGACTTGGACTAGATGACCTCTAGAGGTCCCTTCCAACCTTAACGATTCCATGTTGAGTAACATCTGCGTAGGCTGCAGGAACACAAGCAGGGGAAGCAGCGCAGCCCTCCAGGACGCTGCGAGCCCAGCACCCCCGGGTCTCCACAGAGAGGCCAGCTCCTCCACAGAGCTCCCATCCTCACAGACGCGCCTCGCCTGAACGCCACACAAGCCTCACCAACCTGTAGCCCAAATCGCCGTCCACACACGTGCCCCCGTTGAGGCACGGGTTTGCCCGGTGCGCGGAGCAGGAGGGACGAGGGCCCTCCCGCGCGGCGCAGCCGCACAGGGCGCTGCTCACGACCGTCACCGACACCAGCGAAGCGCTCCCCGCTGAGGCCACCGAGGGCACGTGGCTCTGCTCGGACTTGCTCATGCAGCCCGTGCTGTGAGAGCAGTTCGCAGTCGCACACACATCGATGCCAACTTGGGTGATATTTATATCCAAGATGCTTTCCAGCTGTGGAGAACAATTATTTGTATTCATCTGATTTTCTTCATAGGGAGGAAACACACAAATTACCAGTGGCAGCCATGGTCTTAATTTATTCTCAAAACTGGTTGCTGCACCACTTGTTTCCAACATCTACCTCGCTCTGACCAGCCACAGGCAGTTCAGCCTGGTATCTGCTATGCCAAAAGCCCTAGTCTAAGTCAATTATAGTGTGAGTGAATGTTTCAAGGACAAAAATCCAGGGAAATTAATCATAAGTGGAGTGAATAAATTACAATTACTTTTAGCTTCGGGAGATTATCTACATAGTATCTGGAGTCTGTTTTTAATTTGGACTTTTGTCTTTAAAAGATTTGGAAAGAAAGGCAGGTGTTGTGCATTGCAGAAATACCTTTACTGGCAAGTCGGTTATTAATGCAGGACTGATTGCAAACATTACTGTATTCCAATCTATGTGTACCCACGCACACGTGTCAAACACAGCAAGGAGTGAATTTAGCTATTAGCAGCTTTTTTTTTTTTTTTTTTTTTTTTTTTTGCACAAGGGGCAGGAATTTTACTTTAATTTTACATATCCAATTTTGCTATTGTGGAATGGTTATTTTACTACTTTGCCTTCTTAAATCGTAAAGCTGGACTTTTGACTGAACCCAGATTTATGAGTTTCGCTTACAGAACATTTCTGTGTAGAAGAATATAAATCAAAAACCTTAAGACATGTAGAAACACAAGAGCCAAACACATCTTTTAAACTGTTTTTACAGTCAACAGAAAAAAAACATGTTCACGTTTCTGAAAGTTAACTCAGTGTGTTAGTGTGACTCAATATGCATTTACAGGCTGTTTTTTAAAACATTCATATTTGAAATTTTAATCAAAGTGCTAAAGAACTATTTGATTATACTGAATAGAGTGGTCCATTTTTCTTACACACAACCCGTTCAATCAGTCACTCTAAACACGCACATTCACTTGGCAACGTACCTTGTTTGAAAGGACACAATAACTAGATGATGTGATTTAATAACTAGATGATGTGATTTCATACAAATTAAACACACTTACCCGTGCTCTGGCTACCGCGACGTTGCCATTCAGTTTTTCTGCCTTGTAATAGGGTGGACCATAAACTGCAAACCAAACATCAATCCCTCGAGTCTGACTTGGGCTTTTTAATACACTGAAAATGTGAACATTTTCCAGTTGGGCTGATACGATTTCTGCAATGAGCTTCTTCATCTGGTGGTATTTACTGTCTTTTTCAGGGAACTGGGATATGAACTCCTCTGGAGTGATATCTGCAATAGAATTTTAAATCCTGACAAACACATACATTGGAGGCTACAACTGTTAAAGCAGTAAAAGAGAGGGGCACCACAGAACACACTACTAACATTGCAGAAAAAGTACTCAATAGGAAATCCACCAGTGTTTTCGTTTTTAGACTCTGAAATGTTCCTTGCTGGATTCTGCCACAAGATTTGTGTTTTGAAGCTTTCTGACAATTCTTTTAAATCAGAACCACGTTTAAGAAGATTTTAGTCGTCCACAAAGATTGAAGTAATTTCAGGCCAGTTGTTCAAAGAAATTTCTTTTTTTTTTCTCCTTCATATTAACTGCTGTTTAGTTGCAAGGTTGGAATAGAAATCTCACGCCTGTGACTTTTGCATCAATCCAGCATTTCCTGTCATCTTTTTTCTTCCCTGGATGTGCATCCCTATAAAGCATCGGAAGACTATCCAAAGATACATTTTCAAGCCATCATGTAGAAAGCTATTAACTCTTATCTAAGTTTAGCAGCACTAGACTTCTCAGTAACATAGCAATAATGTTAAAGAGGCAGGTTTCAGCATTACAATTCTAAATGTACTTCACATTGCTTACCTTTTATTCGTATAGATCCAGCATTATAAAGGGCATCACCTTTGATTTCCTTCACTGTAACCTTTACAGTTGAGACCACATCTGGCCAGACACCATCAATGACTCTAACTCTCATATTGTAAACTCCTGGGGGGGTTCCTTCTTTAATAGTCAGCAATCCTGAGTTATCATTAAGGATAAAGTGCCTGTAAGAGGAGTTAAGGCAAGGAAAAAGCTGTGAAAAGTTACAGCTGAGATGCAGTAATTATCCTTCATGTTTTTCTGACCCACTTTTTTGTGTGTGTATGAAAATTATCAGAGACAGCTGATATGTTCCCTCACAAAGGGACTGTAAACAGGGCATTTGCAGTGGTGCTGCAGCAGAAAAGGCTCATTAGAAACCACTGGCCCGCTGAGCAGCAGGGAATGGATGAGCTTGGCATGCAGCATTTATTGTGCTACCATAGCCAGGAGGGCTTTCGCAGAGCTACAAACAAACTTGTAATCAACAAATGCTTTTGCACACTTGTCTTCAAAAAAGGATAGTTTAAATATGGTCTACATTTTTGTGTGTGCGGGGAAGAAGGTTTTCTTTCATTTCACCCAATTTCTTTTTTTCCAAATACCTTGATGTTTTTCCTTCAAATTGGTAGATTTTGTGATCCCAATCATCATCATCAGGGGCACGAACCTGGCCCAGCACAGTCGTGGGTAGGATACCTAGAGCAACACAGGGCAGAAGTGGTGCAGTCAGAACCCTGTCGCGTTTACACACACAGGCACATGCACACAAACAGGCTGCTCAAGTTTCACCCATTTGTCTCGAGCCTAAAAATCTCTAGAGAAACATTTGGGATGATTCTCTGGAGGAGCTGTGCAATGGTTTATAAAGACCACAGTCTGCCCTGCTTAGTGGGTGCTTGCTGTATGGATACCCAGGCTTAATTCAATAGGAGGCTGCCTGGAAAAAGCAGTCAGGAAGGAAAAACGAAGCCATCGCCATGAAGGAAAGACACAGGAGTTGCTCAGCCACCATGCCAGAACTATTAATTTTCACTACTTTGGCTGCAGCGTCCCACTGTAGGACAGTTTAGATAGGGATAGGCAAAAGACTGGGGTTTGAGGAGGTAAAAAATCAAAACATTGACAGGGTTGCAAAGGGGAAAAGAAAATAGCAGTTTGGAGAAAACTGCATCAAGATAGAAAGGTTGTCTGATATACAGCAGGCAGGCTCAATCTGTGTAAGCAGTGAGACTTCTGGGTGAGACAAAGCAGCATGCACTCTGCTGTTCTTAAATCCTCTCAGAAAAGCTCACAAACAAGCTCATTTTGTTTTGTTTTGTTTTACAAAGGCCATTTATAATGGAAAGATTTGCAAGTGTCTAGTTTCACACACCCACTGAGTGAAAAATGGAAGAGCCACAAAGGAGAGGAAAAAAAACGTGAGGTTTTACCTTGTAAAAGCGAACAGCACAAACCCTGCCATCTGAGAGGTTGCACTCGAAAGGGCAACCTGAAGCCCGCCTTGCAACTGTACCAACGTGCATTTGTGATTTTGCAGGAGACTGCAAAAACAATGCTCTGATGTTTGATGCAAGACACTAACGCGACAGGCAACACAGTTGTAGCGTTCTAATCTTGCCCTCACCTTTATATTTTAAGATTAGTTTTGAGGACTTGAACAGTCCCTTCCAAAAATTAACATTGCAGATGAGTTTAGCCTTTAAAGAGACATCTAAATTAAAAATCAGGTATAATGAAAGACCTGATAGTCCACTTTTCTGGGCTAGAGGCAGAGATTCTCATTATCTGCCATAGTTCCTCTGCAAAAAAGCAACCAGGCTTTGTTTCAGCTTTGCAATAAGCTGAACCTGACACCAAGCACCCAAATAACAGAACATTTCAGTATAACTAATTGGTCAGTAGCATCTCTACAGAAATATTTTGTTATGTGTCCATAACGGACACTCTACTTAATATGGTGTGAAACCAGAGGACACGCACCAGCCTTGGAGAGGGAATGACCTAGGCCCACATGGAGGCAAGTCCCCAGAATCATTTATACCTGCATCATTTAATCGGCTTTGGGCCCATTATGTAGGAACATCAGATCACAAGAGCAACCCAGTCTCCAAGGCAGGGAGAGGAAGGTGGGCTCTGTCCCACTGCCTGAAGCTGGGATTCATAGAAAATTCTCCCATAACAACAGCTGTCAGCTGAAGGCTTATATGAATGTCTCAGGCAATTCACACATGGGCCCAGGTTAAGAACTAATTGAACTAACTGAACTAATATTGAACATGGAATTAACATTCAGTAGTATTCATTAATACTAATATTCAGTGTTCAGTAAAATTGCATTCAGTCTGGAGGAGAAAAAAGTTCTTTGAGTATTAAGATTTGTTGCTTCTCAGCAGTATTATGAACTTCATTAATATTTTGTTTTCCTGAAATGTTAATGCTATTGGAAAACTGCACCTGAAAACAAGGACCATGACTCAAGTCTGACAGAAACATGCATGGAATAGGAGGCAGCTATACTCTTCCATCAAACCTGGTTCAGCTTCTTCTGCAACCAGACAGTCCAGTGCTATGCCTCGCACCACACTACTCTGTGTGAGCTCTCAGCACACTTTGGGGGAATTCCTAGGGTGTTAGCTTAGGTGGAACAAGCCAGGGAAGCAGCTCCTTTGGCCTTGCTGTAGTACTTTGAAACAGAGGGTGATTTACCATCGTAGCTGTAAATAAGACATTCCATGTAGCCAGGAGAATGCGGGTGGTCGTTCTGGTCGCCGATGTTGACGGTCAAGGTGCTGGTGGAGCTCCTGGGGGGCATCCCGCTGTCCGTGATGAGGATGGGCAGGTAGAACACCTTGTGCACCTCCCTGTCGAAGGTTCGCAGTGCCGTGAGCAGCGCGCTCCCGTTACGGAGATCCTGCAAGTTGAAGCTGGCCACAGCACTGAAATCACCGAGCAGGCGGAAGGAGAACGGGGCTCCGTTGGCAGCCGTGTCGCGGTCCTTAGCGTACAGCAAAGTAGAGGTCTCATTCATCTGGACGACCTGGGGAGCAGCTGTGTTTTCCCAAACCACTGGGTTATAATGAGCCTCAAATTCCGGCCCGTTGTCGTTTACGTCCTGCAGAGCCACTGAAACGGTGGCGCTGCCGGTCAGAGGGGGCTGTCCCATGTCGGTGGCGGTAACGACAAGGCTGTACCGTGTCACCGTCTCGTGATCCAGTGGCCCCGCAACTACCAGCCAGCCATCCCCAGCCACAGAGAACTGGCCGCCTGGGTCAGACCTGCTCAGCAGCTGGAAGGAAAACCTTCCATTCAGGCCAGAATCCAAGTCAACGGCAGAAACCTGAACGACTTTGGTGCCCACTGGGACATCTTCCCCCAGCGCTGCCACTTCATAGAACTGCGGGTAGAAAACAGGAGCGTGGTCATTTGAGTCCTCCACATAAACCACGCAGTGAGTGATGCTGAAGAAATCCATGTCCTCTGCTTTCACGGTCAAGTTGAAGACCCTCTCATGAGGCTTCTCAAAGTCAACCTGCTTTCGCAGCCGGATAAGCCCACAGTTGTTGACTTTATCTGTCTCTATGGAGAATTTGTGATCGTTGTCCCCATCAAGGATGCTGAATGTCACCATGGCGTTTTCTCCCTCATCTTTATCCACAGCAGACACTACTGCAACCTCAGTATTAATACTTGCATTCTCAGAGACAAAGGCTGTATAGACCCTCTGCAGGAAAACTGGAGCGTGGTCGTTTACATCAGACACCAAAATGGTAGCTGTGCCTGTCCCTGTGAGACCTCCTCCATCTCTAGCCTCAACCACTATTAGATACCTGTCTTCCTTCTCCCTGTCCAGGGACCCCAGCATGGTATAGATGGTGCCACTAACCAAGTTAATTGAGAACAAATTCAGATTTATTTCATTTTGGACATTTTGAATGATTCTGTATGTTAGGACAGCATTTGTACCAGCCTTTGCGTCATCAAGGTCCACTGCTGTCATGTCCATGACAGAGGTGTCTGCTGGGGAACCCTCGGGGACATAACCCATGAAACAACCATCTGACACACAGAGGAACAGGGGCAGGTTGTCATTCACATCCCTCACTTCTATGATGACATCTGCGAAGCCAGTCAGTCCCTCTCCACCCTCGTCGGTCGCGAGCACAAGGAAGCGCCACGTCGAGCGCTTCTCACGGTCCAGCCTTTTATTTGCAGTGATCTCGCCCGTGTTCTCATTGATGCTGAACTCGCTGCTGGCCCCCTGGCCGTGCAGGGAGTAGATAATGGCGTTTTGATCAGCCTCCTGGTCGGGGTCTGCTGCAGAAACCTAGGACAAACCACAGCCTGTAAGTCTATGCAAGACAGACTGGGAAATCACTGTTCTTTCACTGAAGCAGTTGTTTTACATGGGTTAAATAAGTAGCATGCATTTCAACAACATGTATTGCTTTGAGCCATTCAGATCAAGCTCTCTCTCAGTAAATGTTATGCATGGCCTAGAAAAACAGTAACATGTTTAGAGAGACCAGTATATTCTACTTCCCAGTATAACTGGGAAGGAGGAAATAACTGCAGTAACTACCAAATGGAAATAACAATAGATCTGTTGAGCAAACTTTTTGGAAAAGAAGATGAGAGGAAAGAGCAAGTCAGGATTATCTCTCTCGTAGCAGATAGGAGGCCACATAAATCCCTTACCCTCCAAAACTGGTAACCATATGTCCAAGCTGACATTAGCCCTGTCCAGAACTAACTCCCTGTTCCTGATCTGCATCCAGGTCTCATCTGTGAGAGCTGGCTGGGCTAAGTGACCTCTGCCAGGGACTGCTCTCACAACAAAAGAGTAAAGATGATTGAGTTCCAGAGGCAAGGAACATTCCTGAGCAACTTTTGCTTGCTAGTATAAATGCACTGAAAGAGTCTGCAAACTTAAACATGAGGTGCTTGTGCCAATCATGAGATGTACATATGGTCTCTCAAAACCTGCTCATGCAACATCTTCCTTGCTTTGTAAAGATAAGTTGCATGAGCAGATTTTGAGAGACCGTATGTACATCTTCCTTGCTTTGTAAAGATAAGTCGGTACACTATCCAACATTTCTGCTGTTCAGGAGAGAATGTCCACCACTCAGATGTAACCACACTCTAGTCTCTTCTTTACAGAAAACTACTATTTGAACGCAGAAGAGCCAGGGCTCATCTACCCTGATAAGATTGTCTCTGAATCCATGCACTTGAACAAGGCTGGGCTGAACCAAAAAGGCAAACTGCTTTACCTTCAGGACAAGCACCGGCAGGTCCGTGAGCTCCTCCAGGACGCTGCCCTGGTACTCGCTCTGAGTGAAGACTGGCGCTTCGTCGTTCTTATTCACCACGGTGACCACGATGAGAGTCTGGTTCTCCCATTTGCCATCGGAGGCTACGAGCCGGAGCTCGTAGCGTTGCTCTTGCTCATAATCCAGAGTCTGAGCAATGAAGACAGTAGCACCCTCAGGTTCCACATCAAAAACTCCTTTCACGTTTCCCGATGTGATCTGGTACCTTAGCTTGGCATTTGCACCTGCAAGAGAAAGCAAGTGATCGCTGCTTGCACAGACCCTGGATGCTCAGCACAGCTCTACAGAGTGGACACGCATGCAAAAGCAGCCCTGTCTGCCCAGCCCAGAGCAGACTGCTGCACCAGGCACCAGTAACAGATTAGAGGTTGAACTGTGGAGTCTCCTTTTCTGGAGATCTTCCAAACCCGCTTGGATGCGATCCTGTGCCACGTGCTCTAGGTGTCCCTGCTGGAGCAGGGGGTTGGACTAGATGGTCTCTAGAGGTCCCTTCCAACCCCAACCATTCTGTGATTCTCAGATATTCCTCCCTGTCAACTGAGGGCAGTGAATGTAGTACAGAGGCTGGTAATGGGAATCAGATTTATTGCTCTAAGTGTAACTTAACACTCATATTGCAATTTCACTATGTTGCTGTTTCACTCAGCTAGATCAAAAACCCAGCGTAGCACCAAAGGCCTTCAAATAAGTAAACTTTTACATTATTACATCCTCCATGTGTGCAATAGCTAAAAGAACCTGGTTAGAGAGTACTGGATTCTGATAGCCCAGAGAGAAGATCCAAATCTCTTCTCCTCTTTATTCCTGCCTTCATGTCTGCCTATGTCATCCCACATCTTCCATTGCTTGTCAGATCCTTCCACACACTTTATGAATAACTCGCCAAAAGAGTTTGGGATGTTCTGCAGCAATGACTCTGGTTCACAGAGATCCACAAGCACTGGAGGTAGCTCTACGTAAGCCTGTGGTCAGGAGTGAGTTGTACTTGTGAAGTTAACAGCAAGGTTATGACTCTAGGCAATTTCCTTCTATCCTGAAGATACTGTCAAGCTATGCTAACCTTATATATGACACTTGAAAGCACTTCCTTTTATTAAGAAGCTCATGTGGACAGAACTCATCTTTTCTCCTTTGCAAATGCTTGAAATGCCCATTCGTCTCCTGAAAGCAGATCTGTTTGCCCAAGGAAGGAGAAGTCCTACAGACAACACAGTGTCACACTAACACGTCCAACGCAGAGACGCGCACCGGGCAGGCCCACTCACCCTCATCTTCATCATTTGCTGTCGCAGTCAGAACAGGGCTTCCCACATCCCTGTCTTCGTCCACGCTGACCTCGTACACTGCCTGAGGGAAGGCTGGAGCATTGTCGTTCACGTCACTGACGAAAATCCTTACATAAGCTGTGTCTGGAAAGGAGATGTGAGAAGCATGTGCAGAAGAGAAATGGCACAGGTGGCTGCAACATCTTGCTTTACTCCAGTAGTCTCATGCACATCTCAGGTACAGAAAAGTTAAGGAACCCAAGCTCTGATATCATTTATCCAATACTGTTTATAATTCTTACTAGTCTTACCCATGTTGGGTTGCCCATGAACACCAGGTCTAGCTGATTCTGAAGAGTCCTGAGACTGAACTTCAATCAAGTAAGAGGCTCTTTTCTCTCTGTCAAAAGACACATGGGTAGAAATAATTCCTGTTTCAGGCTCCATGGTGAAGAACTGGTAATCCCCATTTGCATCTTTCAGTATGAAGTAGTGAACCTAAAAGAAAAAAGTTAAGGGAGATTTCATTTTCCATTTTCACTTGTATAGCCAAGGGTTGTGTCCACCTCACACGTCTCAACAGTCACTTCCCAAGACTCTGCAAGGTAGCAATGCTTTGAGTACATTTACTTAGAAGTCTGTCCACTTGGAAGAAAAAAAAAAAAATCAGAACTCCCAAAGAGAAAACCAGCTGTACCAATCAGACCAAAGCCCGTCCAGTCCAGTATCTCATCTCCAGCTGTGACAGTTAAACAAAATCACGAATAAAACAAATACAAAGAAATGACATGCAGCAACACCCTTCCCCAATGCCACCTGCTTAGCTTCTAGCAGTGCATTACACTCCTGATTTCAAAACTATTTGGGCTGAAAGTCTGGGTCCCATTCCATTTTTTTTCAAAAATAACCATAAATAAATGAAGGTCTTCATTGATGAAAGCTGACCAAATTTTCCACTTTAACAAGATTTTGGCTTCTTCTGTTTAAAAACAAACATTTCTACCCCTATCTACATGTCATGCAGAAAGCATGGCCATGTACAATTCCACTACATAGGTGATAAGTTCAGAAACTGCAAAACAATAATTACAAAACAACAAATATTTTACTAGCCAGAGTTCTCTCACAGAAGAGTTTACAGGGTTTTTCAAAAAGACCCAGGAAAATCTGCAAAAATGAGCAGCTCCCTTCTTAACACTACTTCTTCCTTGAGTTGAGTTACTATGACAAAGACAGTCAAACATTAAATAATGAGCCAAAGAGGTGAGAGTTTGGTGACACATTCTGTAGCCTCCTCCAGTTCTCGTGTCATGGGAGCAACCTGGAGATTCAGACATCAGTACTTTGTGCAACCTGGGTCAGGATGAGTTGCTACCACACAAGACCTCAAGATTGTGAACAGAACCTTCTCCACTTACATCTCATACTATGCACTTCAGACCCAGGCATATGTTAGACATATCCTATCACCTGCTCTGGGGGCACTCTCAGGGACTGCAACATAAACCTTGTCTGCTGGGAGGAAAAGAACTGGACATAATGTCAAACCTCTCCATGTAGGCCAGAATCCAAGTCTGTAGCTACGACCTGCACCACGGGTGTGCCAACAGCAGCTCCTTCCGGCACAGACACCTCATAGTTGGAAGACACGAAAAATGGAACGTTATCATTCACATCTGCAAAACGAGATGATTGGGACCACAGTAAAAATGTATGAACATTTTTTTAAACTGCATTTAATTTACTGTATTTTGTTCACTATCAAAATTTTGCCTGGAGAAAGAACTCATTGTTCTTTGTAAGAAGCAGTCTTGCTTTCAATCTTCCCATTTTCATGGCATCTGGTAGAAGGCATTTTATAGACAGTGAGCCACTTCTGGGAGACAGAAGGCTAATTTCAGATAAGACACCAGCTAACAATTTGACCATAGTCTTATAATAAGCCCACGAACATCAGGACCAGCAGGCCCTTCACTCAGTCTGTAAAGAGCTGGTTATCTGCTGAAGCCTACAGCTGCACCACACACTGTAGCTCATTTCAGTGAGTTGTTACAGGGAGATTAACATACAATGGAAAACAAATTGGAAAGTCTGAAGTTGATGAAAAATGTGTGTCCTGGTCTTGACAGGAGCTCTCCAGGGCACTACAGTCAGAGCTGTGTTAGGCTGTAGGACCCGGTGATTACTCAGGATTCTGCTGCACAGCAGCCTCCCCTGGTCTCACTGCCGGCGGGTGTCTGAAGGGTTGATCCTGATCCTCCCACCCTTCCCATCCTGCTCTCAGCAACAGGATCGTCCTTCAACCAGGCAGATGAAGTGATTGTATTACCACATGGTGAGACTGCTCCTTTTCTTGCTCTGACAGAAAGCTATCTTTCTGGGGAGAAATTCACCTTCACAATTTCCTTTCCACAGTTTCAAATTAAATGTTAAACCTCAATGCTAACTAGAAAGGGGGGAGAGAGGGGGAGAGAAGAGGAGAGCGGGGGAGAGAGAAGTTGGGTTTTGTGTTTAATATAATCTATCTGCACTCTTTGTCTTTCTACAGCACAGAAACTTCCCAGTAATACAAGCATCCTTTTAACAATGTGAGATTTACTAGATTTCTCTTTCTATTAAAACTCAGCAGGTACATTTATAAAGGTAAGTGCTACTGTGCTGTGTAAACATTCACCCAGCACGTTTTTGCATTAGCATATTGCCACAATTTATAGTTCCACTTGGAAATTGCGTCCAAACAGATGTTTCTATGACAGTACACTTCTGTTGATAGGATTAAAACTGTCCAAAGCCATTGTAGGCAGCTAGGAATTTCATGTATGCTAAATCATTTCATGGTTTCAAACTAAAAACATCAAAAATATTGTGCTGAATGAGCTGTTGTAACAAGAGTGGTACTCACCTGTTATATTGACGCAGACAGTAGCAAAGGAAGCTAAAGGAGTCAGGGCTACATTTTGTGCCCGGACTCTCAGAGTGAACGATTTAGTTGTCTCAAAGTCAAGTGGTTCAGAGACTAGAAGAGACGCAGACCCGTCAGCTCGGTTCGGCTTCAGATAGAAACGGACGGGCATGTTAGTCTCTGGAACTTGACCCTCCTCCAGGTTATATGTAACCCTGGGGTCGCCAAGGGGAGAGGTGGCTTTGATAGTCTGGGGAAAGGAAAAAGCCGTGATATGAACAAGCGTTGAAGGGTTGCAAGTGTTAAATGTTCAATTTGATGGCGAGAACTGTGCAGGCATGAGAAGGATAACAGACAAAAGAGAAACCATCTACTTTCATCCTGCAGAGCTGAGTTTAATTTGACATTGCTTAGGCTTGCTGTAGCTTTTTAATCAACAGCCAATGAGCATGCCTGTAAATGTGCTGGACAGTAACTGCATCAGTGGCTAAAGAAGACACTCCTTTCTCTGCCTTCCACAGCAAAAGTGGACCAAAATGACACTGCCTCTCCACAGAGTTGTACATTTGCTCATGCAAGACACAAACAAAACTGAACGGTTTGAAGCTCTTGGATATCACACGCAGGAGGAGGAAGGCAATTTACAGAAGAGACCATTCCTAAAGAGTATGTCTGTACAGATTCCGTTTTGGGATAGAAAAGCTCCCAACACAAATTAATGCTAAAGTGGAGCAGACAAACTGCAACAGTGCTTAAGGGCACATGAGAAGAGCTGTAGGAAAGATTCAGGCAGACAGCACAGAGTTCAAGCAGTTCTTTTATCTCATTCAGGCAGGTTCTTCTATCCCAAAGCGGGATGCAGAAGCAGACAGCTATCCCTTGGTGCAAACACCCAGGATTTTTTACAGAGCCGGGATCTCATTTTTTATTGAAACCTGCTGCTCGTGGGAGCACACCCTGCACACTGCTCATTTTAGCGATCACTGGGAGAAATGCTGCCAGCTAAAATGCTGGTGTATTCTGCAACAGATATTGCTGGCAAACCAGGAGCACCCAGCTAGGGAGGCTGGCGGGGCAGCAGCACAACGCAATCGGTTTGCAGAAGGGGCGCCCCTATATCCTAATGGGAATACAGACAGAATGCAAGAGAGGAAGAAGACGAAGTGGAAAGGAGAGGGAAGGAAGCAATCGTGCTTTTAACATACCACTACTGTGGTGTCACGAACAGTGTTTTCAGGGATTGTCACCCAGTAGAGGCTCTGCTCCCAGCGGGGTGGCTGACTGAGGGCATTCGTGACGGCCACGGTCAGCTCCACCGTGCTACTTCTGTTGCCTCCATCTGTTGCTACGATGTAGCAGCTAACGCGCGTCGCCTACGAAATGAAGATCAAGGCAGTTTCAAACCATTTTGTAAAATCAAGGGATTGCAAGGAACACGCTGCAAAGGATTTGAGAAGCTGAAGGCTGCTCTGTTCCAAGCACACTTCCATGTTACCTGAGAAATGGGACGGTTTAAGGACACCCAGCCCGTGCTGGGGTTGATCTGGAAGTATTCCAGTGGGTGCTCCAGCATTGAGTATGTGATGGCAGCATTCACACCGTGGTCGTCATCATGAGCCACAACACGCAGAAAACTTGTCCCCACTGGAGTGTCCTCGCGGAGAAAATCTTTGGAAGATAAATGTATTGTCAGCAGAGTATTGCTCCCACTTACCATGCTGTGTGTTACAGAAACACTCCTGCATATAAAAACCAAGAGACAAGAAAGGGATCTTCACAGGTCAGTGATAAGCTCACAGCATTGGCCTTTTCTTTAGACATCTCTCACAAAGGGTTTCACTGATCATTTGGAAGAGTTTAAACACCTGGGCTGGTCTGAGCCACTTCTTCACTGCACCAAACTACTGTTTCAGAGCAGTTGGTTTCACAGATACAAAAAAAAAAAAAAAAAAAAAAAAAAGAAGGCAAAGCCTAGTTAGAGTAACACTTTAGAGTTCCCCTTCACATGGGATTAAATGTTTCTGTAATGAGGTAGGTTACAAAGTATTGTCACTAAGAGAATACCCACATTTTTCTTTTAGCTTTCCCTTCCCCTACACGCTGGGTTTTTAATAAAGCTGTTAGTGAGGTAGATTTTTGTGTTGGTGACAGTTTCTGCTATACAGCCTTGCTGGGATGACTGTGCCTGTGCAGCAGAGCTCTAACCCACATAGCAATGTGTGCCTCCCACCATTCCCATCCTCTCTTAGGCGCAGGAACGACTGCTACCTCAGAGAGCATAACTTTTCCAAAAGACATCACGCTGAAGAGGAGATTGCTCAGCAATTGCCTCTCTCTTTTTTCCAGGCAGTCCACACACATGGGCTGCAAGTCCCCACGTCCCCGAGCAGGACGTTAGTGGTGGCTGTTCCTCTTGGCTCCGGCTCCCGGCGCTCGCTGCTCCTCTCCGCGGCAGCGCGGGCAAAGCCCACACGCGCCCACGTCCCGGTGCTCCCGGCCACGCTCCAGGCCACGGGGCTCAACTGCTGCCAACAGCAGCGGGACACCAAGCGGAATCACTGACAAAGGGAATTAATCTGGAATCCAGTGGAGCGGCAGGACCAGCAGCACCGCTGGGAGGCAGCAGGGAACCACAAAGCTTGAAGATTCAGCTCCTAGTAAAGATCGCCCCGACAGAGCAGCCACAGCCAAACAGGGCTTGGGACAAGCTGCTTCCAGCCAAGGCATAATGAGCATTTTTTACGTGCCCCTTTCCCAAGGTCTCCCTGCTCCCAGCAATCTGTGGCTTACGGACTTCCTGAGATAGAGACTGCGTCTCTGTGGCACTAGTCCTAGATGGATTGAACCCTTTTTGAACCCAGTTTTATAGTTAACATCTCCTGGTAACAAGCTGCCCAGTTGAAGTACTTATTGTAAATAAGAGTCGTTCGTTTTGTCTGCCTAAAGCTCACTTCTTGGCAGGGGCATTACAAAATCATGAGAAATAATGCAGAGTCATTTCGCAGTCCCCTCCTCGGCGCTAGGCACTGCTGTACACACAAAGCTATCACACCCTGTCGCCCGTCTCTTCTCTACACCAAAATCTTCAGCTTGCTCCAGGCTGAGTTTGCTCCTGCTCTTCCACTCATCCTCAGCCATGCAGCCCCACTTCCTTCTCCAAGCAGCCCCTGGTGTTTTCCTGATCCTCCTTTGATGTCGTTCCATGTTCCGAGAGAAAACTTGGTCAATTTAGACTGAAACGGTCCTCACAGTAGAAAGTCTGTATCTCTTATGCTCAGCCAACTTCTTCCTCAGAAACCACTTCCCACCCTTCATTTCCCTTCTATGCCTCTATTTTATTATATCCTTTTGAGATGAAATAAACAGAACTGAACGCAGCATTTACACAGTGATATAGTCATATTTTCTGATCTGCTCTTCCTCCTCTTTAGTATCTCCAGTCTCTGGCACAGGGGCAATGAAATCTCGAACCACCCCAACCGCTTCCTGCTCAGTGAGCAGGATCTGGGGCTTGACCAGCTTCCCTCCACCCCCAGGCACTTAAATGGCCTATAATAAGTGTCCCTGCTATGTCAGTACAGCCAAAGTTGCTCTCAGAAGAGAGACGCTGACACTGAAATAAAAAAATGACAGTGGAATTTACTGTTAGGAAGTACCATAAAATACCCTTTGCCCTGTATTTACATGTATGCTGCTATAGTCAAAACCTGTTAGATGGCATCGTAAGGAACACTCACAATGACCTGGGCCACGCTGTCCCACCTGACGCGGCTCTGCTCGCAGAACACTCGCAGTTACTACACCCTGCATTATCCTACACATATTACTGTATGCACACGATGTCTACGTAGCACACAATTACTGCACCATCCTGCTGCGTATGGCCAAGCATTCATTCAGTGACTGCCTCCCAGGCAGGACATTTAACCCAGGGATTCCTAGTGCAGAGGAATAAAGACCTAGGAATTTCCAGGAAGAACAGGAACTGAGGACTGATGGCATCTGATCTTGTTAGGGAAGCTTAACCCAGGGATTTCCCCAGCATCCTAGTGCAGAGGAATAAAGATCTAGGAATTTCCAGGAAGAACAGGAACCGAGGACTGATGGCATCTGATCTTGTTAGGGAAGAAGCTATTTTTAATTCTGTAACAAGCAAACATTGATTATTATCTACAGGTCCTTGAAAAGTACTATCTATAAAGTGCCCTCAGCTGCAGTTCTTCCATCCCAAAGGACTGCCTTTGTTACAAGATCTTTGCTAGTTTTCCATGTTTAGGGGGGGAAAAAAAGGAAAAAAATATTTTTTCCTCAGAAGTGCCAGAGTTGTCATAAATGCAAAATGCAACCTCACAGCTTCACTGCTTTGGGAAAAGAAGAAGAAAAGGTCACTTGTAGTTCCATCTGCAGGACGCAGAAAGGTTCAACTTTGCCCGTATGCTACCCTTACATCAAGGGCTTCTTTTGTCTGCTCCCAAATATTTATTCCTTTCTCTCCAGTGAGATCATTCACACTGCTGCTCAGTGCTGCTTTGGTCAGACTTGCAGGATCCACTGGTAGAGATGCGGAAACTGCTATTTTTAATCAGCCCATCTCAACTAATATGGCACTTTACTTATATAAGTTACTCTAACAGGTATAGAACATTTTTCTTCCTATCCTGGTACACAACTCTTAAATATATATATGTATATATATATTTAGATTCTATCCAGAAAGATCACTTTTCCTCCTTATTAAAACACTGTCACCCACAGCCATACCTCTCTCCCAATCCTATTAACTATTAGTTTATGTGATAATAACAAATGACATACTTTCAAACTGTTTTTGTTTTAATAATGCATAGGTCACTGCTTTGCCTTACGAAGTATTTCCGCAGAACTAGAAAAACATGTCTAAAATGGATTTATCACATGCATCATCAGCCAATTACTACCATCCCTGGTGAGGCAATCATGTAAGAAAGGGTCTGTCCTAGGCCAGCAATGAGGAAACTTGTCTGGCCTTTATGGATGACATCCAATGCAGAGAGTTCAAAGTAACTGACCTGCAGGGTTCAACCAGAGAAGAGCAAATGAGATTGAACCAAAGACAGATGAACACTACACCACAGGGGAGTGAAAAGGGAGTGCATTAGGACAAACAGGGTAGCCAGCTCAGCAGCACAGTTACAGGAGCAATCGGGGCTCACAGTCACTCACAGGCTACAAGCTAAAGATTTCCAGCTGTTTGATAGAAGATAAAGACCACTCTGGCCTATCTGAACAGAGAGGCTGTGTTAAAGAGACACGGATGACAATAGTTTTTCTAGTTAGGATTGACAGCTTCTCATCTAAAATACCATGTTTTGTTTCAAGACACTGAATAAAAAATTCAATATGCAGAAAAAATGGACAGTGAAAAGCCGCAGATGAGGGCATCGGACCTGCCTAGCCCGCAGGACTGCAGACAATGTGTAAATGCTGCTATAAAGAGGACAGTGACAAACTCCTCGTGTTTCCATTGAGGATGGGGTAAGCAGTAACTGGGTTAATTGGCAGCAAATAAAAGTTTGGTCACCTAAAAAACAATCATTGTTATGGAACTACTAAACAGGTTCATGTTGCAGCACTGAGATAGGTAATTAAAAACCACTCACGTTGGTAGCGACTGTTTTCAAACTTGGGATCGTTGTCATTGACATCAGCAATAAGGACAGTGACCTGGCAGACACCGGTGAGCGGCTCCTGCGCCTGGTCCGTGGCGGTCACGGAGAGCGTGAGCTCCCGCTGCCTCTCCCGGTCAAAGCTCCGTGTGGTCGTGATGAGCCCTGGCAACACAGACACCTCCCATGCCCGCGGGCACTGAGCTTCGGGGCTGTGCCCTTCCCCAGCACACGGCGCAGCTGCTCGGCTCATCCACACCGACCTGCAGCCCCTGTCTCACACGAGGCCACTTACAATCTGCCTGTCCCCAGGGCTCCTCTCACAGCCAGCAGCTCCTCCCAAGCCCATTTACTGCCAGCAGCTCTCTCCCTTACTGCCCCTTACGTCAGTCTAAATACCTTGTTATTTCACTCCTCTTGGAGTGCAGAAATACTTTTTATTCCTCCTTTCAAAGATAGTCCAAGGCAGCTTGTTACTGCTCCGGGGAAAAGTCGCATCACAGCAGGCTTAAATGATGCAACCAGAGCTGTCTTTGCTGTGGAGACTGCAGGCTGCCTCACTTTAAGCTGGGATTGAGCAACATAGCTCAGCTAATACAGCACACAACTCCCTCCCAAAGGCAAGCTCTTCTCCACTGACAAAATCTTCCCCTCTCCCAGCTCTTCTTTCTCTCTGTGAAACTTTAAACTGGCCTTCCCAAGGCCACATTGCCGAGCAAACATCCCATGTGGCTCTTTTGACTACAGAAGCCCGAACAACTTTTAATATCCAACTCCTTCATCTGAAATGCATCATGACTGTCTGTCACTGTCCTTTCCTAGTATGGACGTATTGCCACTTTGTGTGTGAAGTGATAATAAACTACCAGGGAAGCACACACCCGAGTTGTTAAATGTTTATTTTCTACTGTTCATTTTCTATTTATTTTTTACAGTTACACTCAATCCAATATGAAAGTAGGAGATTCAGAATAGCCTGTTACCTTCATAATGAACTGAGGTTTATTTACTTGCATCATTTGGCATTTAGATCGTTATCATCTTAATCTAAACACAGGGCTATCCACATACTCTAAGGTTCTTTCAATACTTACTCCATAAATTGTTATAGCTAATCCAACAATTACACCGTAAGACCCCTCCCCCACCCACACACTCACACAACAGTAAAAAGACACTTGCACTGTAGCTCAGGAAGCTACTGACCTGTGTCTGGATCAATGCTGAAGCCCAGCGAGGCTCCATCTCGGTGCATGAGCCCGTACTTCACTTCTCCATTCAGGCCCAGATCTGCGTCGTAGGCTTCCACCTGCAGCACGGCTGTGCCCGGAGGCTGATTCTCCAGAACCCAGGTGCTGTCACTGTAGTACGCGCACTGAAAAGACACCCAAAACCCAGCCCTATTACACGGGGCTACATGATTTGGTTCCCAGTTTAAACACTTTTACAGTACATCCGACAAGAATTCAGAAAAAAAAAGAAAAGCACTTCTAGTATTTATGATCACTGAGAAATCAAGTTCTAAAGGAGAAAAAGAAAGCAGGAAATAAGACTTTGCTCTTCAAGCATCAAGAAAACTGACTGTGTGTTCCACTTACAGACCATTCTGTTTTGCAAACAGTGTCCCTTATATCTGCCAGTCAGCACAAGTAATCAAGAAAGAGTTTGCAACCCCAGTTACAGACAGGAAAAGCCCATCTATCTGAGACCATCTTAGCTATCTATCTAAGACACCTTTTATCTTAGGTATCTTACCTCTCTGAAGACAGGTTTGTTGTTATTAATATCGTTAACTCCTACAATAACCTCAGCAAAACTGCTGAGGGGAGTGGGTCCTCCAGAGGCATTGTCATCTATTGCAGTGATGTTCAGTATGTACTGTGGGCCTTTCAGATTAGGTAGCGGGTTTCTGCGGAGTTTAATGATACCTACGTTTAGAAAAATAAAAAGTTATTCTATTTTACCGTGTAAACAAACAATGAAGCAAAAATAATCAAGAGAACATTACATTTCTCTGCCACTATACTGTTCCATCAGTTTTCATTTTGGCTGCAAAGCACAGGATTCAGTGATCTGAGACCACCCCACTCTGGACTAGGGCTTCAAATTTTTGTTGATATTTGGCGAATGAGAATCATATCAGAGAACTAGTTCACACTGATACGAAGCAGCCCCATTTGCAGATTACCAGAAAAGAACGTTTTCTTTATAATTCTTGACACAAAGGCGAAGCAGAGTCAAGACAGATTAGATAGTAAACAACAGTGTTTTTTTAACCTCTTTTCTTACCTTGTGATATGAAGCAGTTTCCTGTGTGTGTTTTTTTAACCTCTTTTCTTACCTTTTTGCCTATCCAATTCGAAGTTGCCCTCCTCGTTGCCTCCTGTAATCAGGTACAACACCCCATCTCCATCAGGGTCCTTTGCCCGAACAGTAGCCACTAAGGTACCGGGACCAGCATCTTCCGAAAGGAAAGTTCTGTAACTGATGCACATAAGGGAAGAGCTACAGCACAGTCACTGCCACAGTAAGCAGCACTGGGTTAACACTCTGCCAGTGACTACAAGTTTATATGAATACATATTTTTAAAAAGCTCTGGATATGCAAATTTGGCATACAGTCTGTATTTTAGAATTGCAATGCAGCAATTTGATACTGAGGATTTCAAAAGATCTTTCAGAAGGTATCCACATGCATGTACCACTACATTGCACCACAAACCACAATCACTTATCCCCTCCTTTAAGGATGAGAAAAAGGACTAATATCCATCATGCAGTATTTCTTATGTCTTTACATATTAACAGGAAACACTGGATGCTGGAAAAGTGGATGTAAAACAGTATTTCATTTTGTAAATACATGTATTTACGTTTTTTATTTTAAAAATGGATGTACTGTAATGCCAAAAAAGTAATTATATTCATTTAAGAAAGAGAAGGAGGAGTTTTAACCAAGCAGGGTCTCATGAAATTAATTTATAATACAATCTGCTAACGATAAGATTAGTTTTAATGTTAGCTAACTACCATCTCCATCTGTCTTATAATTTACGTGAAAAAATCACCTTCAGATCTAGGAGTCAACGTGGTTAAAACTGCTCCCAGCAGGGTTAAATACTTTATTCATTCTGTTATCTCTGCATAACACAGCTGATCGAACAAGTTGGTACACTAGCATCATCATATTCCTTTTTTTGATACAATCTAGATGTGAGACTTTAAAGTCTTTCCGCACACAAATCAGCCCTTAATTTTGCTGGTACTTATTACACAAAAAAACAGGTGGCCATTAATCCAAGTGTTATTGAGATTATACATATTAGCTCTAGAAAAGAGGCAAGTGCTAAACCCGCTTACAGAGCCTGGGAGAACACGGGAGCCTCATCGTTCACGTTGGCCATTCGAACCCGCACAGAGGCGGTTCCTGTGCGAGGGGGATGTCCCGTGTCCACAGCTATCACCACAAACTCATACATGTGGTTGGCTCGCTCAAAGTTCAGCCTCTGGTTAGAACTGATGACCCCATGTCGTGTGATGGAAAAATCAGCGCTCTGAAGGAAGTAAATGATCTCAGCGTTGGAGCCGGAGTCGCAGTCTGTCGCAAGAACTGTTAGAGAACACATTTAACAGAACACGAGGCTGCAAAAGCAATTTGGTTACATTATTTCCTACCTAAAAAGCTTGAGACACACTTTTCTGAGAACAGCAGTCATGCAAATCTGTTCTATATATTAAAGCATTATTTTTTTATGGTATTATGGCTAGACTTCCTGGAACGAGAGTTCCAGCAATCCAGCAGGAGAATGGGACGAAAAACAAAACCAACACAAGTCCTCCCGCCCCAGTCCAGCTTGATCACAGCACGGGGTGTGCAAGGGACCAGTGATCCCAACACCAGGCACCAGGCTCTGCACAAAGAGCAGTGGGCACTGGTAATTACCACACGATCAATATGTGCATCGTTAGAACATCATCAGTCATAAACTGTGTCCTTGCTCTCTCCAGGGATGCTGTTCAAATTTAATTAGCTCCCAGCTATGTCATCGCTAAAGTACTTTTTAATTACCTGGCACTTCAAGGTACAAAGAGTAATTAAGCATCTTTTCCCAGCAAGTGTTTATTCAGTGCACTCAGTTTCCCATCTGCTCAGAAGCAGCAAATCAGCAGAACAAAGCGGCAGAGCTCACATACTGCATCAAAAGCCGTGTTAAGAGCAGGAGTTCACCTCTTCAGTTATCCTGCCATCCAGTCAAACAGAAAGGCTCCACCTCATACCAACACTGCTTTTTAAACAAACTCCTTATTCTACCTGGAGAATTCAACTTTGTGATACACAAACACGATTCCAAAGCACTAGCAAGTATATTGCACACCCTCATAGGCACCTGCACTTTCATTCAAAAAGGCAAAAACAAAATGCGGAAGAAAAACCAATGACCCATAATTATCAGAATATTAACTCAGAATGGAAAAGGAGAGGAAAGAAAGATTTCAAAAAGAGCTGTGAAATACTATTCTGCTGATTGTCAAAAGAAAAAAAACTACCTTTGCTTTTGGAGAATTACTAGTCTCAGTTTAAAAAGTTGCAATAGGTTGTTCAATATCTCCGTGTATTACAGACTACAAAAGCACCTTGCAGAATAGAAGTGCCCACGGGAATTGTTTCAGGAATGTTGTCTCTGCTGTAAATGGAGTGCTGGAATTCAGGAGAGCAGTCGTTTTCATCGGTGATGTGGACCAGGACCTGAGATAAAAGGACATGCTGAGAGAGCAGTTTAGTTTCTACCCACAGGACAACCAACACCTCATTCTGGACGCTGCCTGGGCATTCACTGCTTTTGCTGCTGTCCCATCCTCGCATCTCCAAAGTTCAACTTTTCCTCACACAGCTCCTGGAACCCGGAGGAGTATTCACTTCCACCTCCAAGCAGCTGGGCGGCGAAGCCCCAGGTAAATCACCTGGGCAGCGTCCTGCAGAGCCCAGAAGCGAATCCAAACCAGAACCCTGCCGGGTGCCTGAGGGCAGCACCTTCCCTCCCGCACACCATTCCCCTCCCCGCGGAAGCATTCCCGTACCTCGGTGACGCTGCTCAGGGCGCTCGCGGCCTCGGCTGCTTCCAGCAGCAGGTGGTAGAGGTGGTGCTGGCTCTCGAAGTCGGCGGGGCGGCTCAGGCTGAGCTCCCCGCTCTCGGGCGCCACGCGGAAGAGCCCGCCGGGGTTCCGCAGCAGCGCGTACGACAGCGGCTGGCTCTGGAAGGAGACGGCCTCAACCACTGCCACTCTGCGAGGAACAAGGGAACAGCCCCTCGCTGTGGAACGGCAGCAGCAAGGACTGTGTCCCGAGCACCCAGGAGGGCTGGGCGTGTGAGAGGGGAATTCCTCCCTCCTCGTCAGGGCCACACTCTGTTTTACATCCAGACCAAAACTACCTGTGCTGCAGAGAACCCACCTACCCCATCCTGTCACCAAACCCATCCCCTGACGGAGCAGAGCTGGGATACGAACACACTTCAACCTCTTACCAACAAGAACAGCAATTAACAAAAACTTGTTAATTGCTATTTTTGCCATTTTTGTTATTTGCTATTGTTTTATATATTGTTCAGTTATTTAGATAACTGAGCTACCACGCTTTTATTTTTTTCTACTTCTTTGAAGTTTTAGGTCAAGAAAAGAAACTGCTTCAGAGATGGATGGGAAAGCATGAAGTACAAGGCCTCTCCCGAGCCCGCTACCCACTCTCCAGAAAATGAAGTGAATGTATAATGCCCCAGGGCAGTAAAATGATAATTTAAGTGGATTTTCAGCATCTTATACCACACCACGAGCCATACTATAGATTCTCAAGCACTGGAAAAAACACTGATTTCTTTTAAAAAGCAGCACTTTCTGTTTTTAAATTGTAACACACAAACACATATGTGTGACCATGTGAAACACAGCAGCAAAGGTCACTGGATGGTGCTGGGCAAGTTCCTCTCAGACCGTGGTGAGGGGCTTCCCTGGACATGTCTGACTTACTTTTCTCCCACTGGCGTATTCTCAGGGACGAACACGCTGTAGGACATGTTAGTGAACTGGGGAGGACGGGCACCAGCCAGGATGGAGATGGAGGCATAGGGGCTTTTGTTGCTGTGCTCATCCATGGCTTGCACTGTGAGCACGTACTCCTTGTTCCATGTCAAAGGCAATCCCGTGGTCATGATGGCACCCGTATCCATGTCCACCCGAAATCGCTCTTCACCACCTACCAACACATGTGAAAATCCAGTCTGAAAGCTGCCCCGCAGCAAGAACTTTTCATTCTTTGGTATTTTTAAAGGTAAGCAATCCTCAAATCATCTACCTATGTCCTTGTACACACTCCCTCTTTTTTTTCCTCTGGATGCCCACCTTAACATCTCTACTCAATTTGGTGCAGTGTAAAGGACACAGGAATGTGTGAGAAATGGAGCCTTAAGCCACCTACAAGAGTTGCAGTTAATTTCAAAACAGAAGTAAAGCACGGGCCGTGGTGTCAAGACTCCTGTCCACATACCAGTTTTACCTAAAGCACCTTGTTTTTTAGCCGCTGTATTTTAAAGGATCCTCCAAGAGTTAAAATCTATTAACAAAATGGGAAATCCGTCAAGGGAAATATGCAACTTCCTGGACTTTTACGAGGTGTTTCAGAAGGGACCCACCTGCAATGAGTGCATACGTTATCCCAGCTCCGGTGGTTTCGTTGTGGCTGTAGTGGGCGACCAGCTGGTAGACGCGAGTGCCCTTGCGGGCGCCGGGCTCGGCCCGCGCCAGGTACGGGTACGGATACATGCCCCAGGACAGGGGCTCCTCCTCGGCGGCCAGGAGCGTCACACGGCAGAGGTACCCGTCGGCATCTGCAAAACACACGCACGCGTTCGGGGGCTTGCTCAAGAACCTGCATCACAAATTCAAGATCTTATCCATAACTGTCTGTCAAACTGCAGCTACCGCACTCATCCCACCGCACGCACAGAAGATTTGGTACAAACATGGACTTTTAGCTGGATATGTATTAAATGCAATTAAGGACTGATTCAGGAAGATTGTTACACCTGTGAAGCAGCTCGACGTTATCTAAACTGCAAATTCTCCAGGAATTAAGCTAGCAACTAAAACGCGGTGCTGGTTATTGAATTTATTTAGGATGAATGAATCTCTAAAAGGAAGAGTTAGGTATTTTAGATATCAATGTTCTTTTAAGATTAAGCGGATTGCACTGCTCAGGCTGCAGCATTTGAGTCTTTGCATCCCTGTCCCGCTATCTGGCTCTTGTTTGCACACACACTGGGGTGAGGAAGGTGAGCAGCTTTAGGTGACTGTTACAGATGTCTGGCAATCAAATCTTACATAAAATAACTGCATTAAGGAGTTAAAAAACAGTGAAACAAAAATAGTTGCACTGAAGTAGACTTCTTTTTCCAGCAATGCATTAGTTTTTCAACTGTCATAAATGCAAAAGCATTAACAGATCAAGCCTCTGAAATCAATACAGTGTTTTATTTTGTTCCACTGACACAACCACAGCATCCTATAAAATCAAAATGTAACTTTGCCCACTGCCGACAGAGTTCACCCATTTTGTCAATACGAATCACTCTGAAAAAAACAGATAACCAGGGATCCAGCCTCTATGGCCTGTGAAACAGGACTGCCAAGATAAAATGTTCGGCCTCTGTAGCGCCCATTTGAAAAGGAGTCTTGGTGGGATCAATCTATCCACAAGCTGATTTTCCTGAGGGACCACTACATCCCCAAGGCTTCCCTTATCCCTTCTTTAAACCTGAGAAATGCATGGGAGGGATGAAGCATCTTGGCCAACCACAAAACCAGCCCCTGGCCAAGAAGAACCTAAATAGAAGTAACCTAAATGCCAGGGGAACCCCAAAGCAATGCGAAAGTAGGAAGCACAGGGAGGAGGGACAGTGGCTACAGGGTCACCCACGCAGCAGAAAGCTGCTGCCTTCCCGTGTTTGAGGGCTACCTGCGTTTCAGCAGTTCGGGGCAGATGATAGACATGGGCCATCTTTGGACAAGACCACGGAAGAAAACAATCTTGTTACAAGAATACATTTAAAAATCTGTAATAACCAGCAAAATTTTTTAAAGGGCAGGTAGTTGTTTTTGCAAGCTTGTATCAGTTTATTTTCCATCAATCATTTTTTTTTTCCTTAACAGAATTAGGAAAAGTGATAAAAGTCATTTTCCTTTCCTGAGCTCAGGCTTAGAGCTGAACTGATTGAGGAGGGTCTATCAGGAAACCCTTGGGAAGCCAAGAAGCAAAGAGTGGCCATAAACTTTGCACCCGAGGAAAAAGTGGTAACTTAACATATTTTGTTTAGAAGACTTCTGACAAAATGAATCATTTGAATGTAAGGGACACCATAGTAGGTGAATATACTTCTGCAATACCTAGCCTGAAGCAAGCAGCTTCACTACGTAGGACTGCAAGATGAGGCTGCACACCAACACAGTGCGTGACACCCCTTCAGTGGCAGGGCATAAAGCCCTCTGCTTCTCAGAAAAATTTATATTGATGCATTACATATTGAATATATTGAAAACTCTGAAAAGATTAGTATGATTGGCAGAAACAAAAAGAAAAAAATATATTTCTTTAGGCCTAAGCTGCCTTCAGGCTCCAGACTGCAGAGTGGGCAGTTACGGAGGCAGCGGCTGCCCTAGCACACAGACACACAACACTGCAGGTCCCCAGCTCAGCACTGCCTCTTCGCGGAAGACTGGGGAATAGTTAGCCACTTCCAAGACCTGCAGTGAGGCCATGCTGTCCTGCTACTACAAGAAACATTTTATTTTTAATGTTACAACCACCAGGGTTAAAAACCTGCAGTGCATGCTTGGCTGTCCCTGTGGAGTGACAGAGCTGAGGCGTCTCAGGAAGACGAAAGGGAGGAAAACCAAGGGGAACCTGTGCAGGACGAAAAGGGAAATCACAAGCCTAACTGGCAACTGTAATCCTTAGAGTTTAAGGATGTCGTAAGTTACATGTCCTTCCCAACAGCACGTGGTCAAGACAGCGACAGTAGCTGGTTATTTTATGCATTTATTTATTGAGTGGCAGAAGAGGAAACACTGTTGGGGGTCATCACTGACCTGCACCTAGCAGCGGGGCTAGAGCCAAGGTGAAACTACCGGGTTGAGCTACTCCAGCTGCCCGATAGCTGAAACACTGAGAAGCAGCTTCCGTGTCCCCACCAAGAGCTGTGGGAGAACTGATTCCCCTTCCTGCCATCTAACACTGACGTGAAAACATCTCCTTGCTTTTCTTCTTTTCCTTCCTGCCCTCTAACACTGACATGATATTAGATGAAAACATCTCCTTGCTTTTCTTCTTTTCCTTCAACCAGCACTGTTTACTTCTCTCTGATTTAGTAAGGTAGCTTCAGCAAAAGCTTCCTAGCCAATCTGGGAATTAGCCAAATACTAACAGATAGTACTCTTCCCTGACTAGGTGCTATGTGCTCCAGACACACTTCTTTTCCGGTTTCTAATCAATGCCATTGCGTAACAGACAGAGATTCTTAAAATTCAAGCTGCTTTTAAGCATTTAATCTTAGGTTTTACTGGTCATATGCACTCCATAGCACCACTGAAGTGTCAGGCAAGAACAGGTTGCTGTGCTGGCATCTTGCAGCCCCGACCTCAACGCGCCTGCAGTCCAGTCCTTAGCAACGATGCAGTATCCTGAAAATAGTGAAAAATACTGAATCTGAAAAACATAAAATACTTAGGGACCTTCCTCAAGAAATCTCTTCCATCTGTATTCTTGTGTCCTTCAAAAAACTTCCCCAAACTAAAGTTTACATACAAATAATCTACTTAAAGAGCATTTAAACTTCCATATAATATGACTCATAGCTGTAATTAATCCTTAATCAGTGTTGATCATCACTCTTGGAAACACCTTTCTGCTCAAAGAAGTGGTATTTGCACAGCCATGTCCTGCAGTCCGTGCCCTCTGCTCTACCCAAATGGTGTATGAGTCTGGTGGCCACCTTGTTCCTACAGGTTTTACCAAGGTCATCAGCTGGCTACAAGAGAGGAACCCAAGTTAAGTGTCCCCACCGAGGGAAAGGAAGAGAGAAATGAGCAAACTCAGCAAACATCTGCACACGCATCGGCATCAGATGCAGAATTTGCTGTCTATTCCCTGGTAGGAGCAGCATGGGGTGAAGGAGCTGTTCTCGTGGTAGGGAGAGCTTCAAGATGCAGGTCGCCCCTCCAGAATTGAAATCTCAATTTCCAGTAGCTGTTCTTGACAAGTCTCTAATACAAGGTGCACAGGGCAGTTTTAGTATACTTTGCTGTCTCAAAGATGACAGACAGGTCAGCTCCCTTCCACCTGCAGCTAAGAGACTCCTGAGGATGAAGTTTCTGTTAATTAACACTTGGTTTCTCAAAGATGCTCTCAGCTTCTGATACAAAGCTCAGGGGTGTGAAGCACTGCCTCGCCACCCACTAGTGCATCTATGGGAGTTTTACAGACTGCATAGATACGGTTGTATCTTGTAGGCAAAGTTATACTTAGCATCATCAAAGTCATGGAAATAGGTGTATTCACTCCCCAGAGAGCACACAAACCACTACATTGGTTTGTGGATTAAAAACCCACAGCCACAAGACATCTGGCTCTCTCTCTCTCTATGTATATACTATATTAGCTGCCTCATTTAAAGCTGTTTCTATGGGTTACAACTTTTCCTCCTTGGCTAACTACAGCCAGCAAACACAACACACCAGCCTGCGCTTTGCTTCATTTTCATGAAGTACTTCTTAATATTGACAAGCCTTGGGATGGGCCTTCTACCCACGTGCCCGCTATCCCGTGCTGGGAAGTGGGCTCTTGCGTGTTAATCAAGGCCAGCTGTAAATTTATCCATTAGGACCCTTGGAACCACAAGGGAGCCACTGGTCCTCATGCACACACAGCACCAGGGCCTGGGCAGCAAGTGCCAGATTCCATAAGGGTTCTGCACAGGAGCAGCTTCCCTGGAATCACACAGGGAGTGTCTTTGCCCAGCCTTTAAAACCTAGGGGGCTGCAGGAGTGTCTTTGCCCAGCCTTTAAAACCTGTTACATTTGCTAACAGTTGCCCATTAGCACATACTCACAAGGACTAGAAACAATCCCTAGGACTGCAGAGAAAGCTCTGTAGTTCATTACAGGACCTCAAGAGCTTCTAGATGACAAGATTCATCATGAAACAAGTTTTGCGCTGCAGTTTGCCATGTTAACAGCCTACTAATGGCAATTAAAAGATGCTATTAAATATTAAACAATCCACAATTATTTGCAGGCAGGTCAGTTTGTGAGGAAGCCTGTTCTGCCACCAAAATATATTAATGTGAAACAACAGTTAAGGAATCCCAATCACCGAGGACAATCTGGGGACTTTTGGGGTTAGGCCCTGTTACCTCTGTTACCGCTGTCCTTTGCCATGGACACCGCTCGTGCAGAGTCACCACACACAAAGCAAGAGCACCCTAATTTCTGATACAATAAAAACACGGGTCTGGTAATACACAACCTTCTTACGGTCTGCAAAGGGGCAAGTCAAACACTAGCTATAACTAGGGCTCCCAAAACTAGGGAAGAGACATGAAGATGGATCTTAGCAGAGGAACAAAACCACAGCACAGAGTAGACGATAAACCAGATTATTACACCCAAAGTAAAGCTCAAGCAGCTGCTGCATAAACAGTCACGTTCCCAAATCACTCCAGCTCTGCCGACACCACCTATCCAGGAGAGAGCCCTGTGTGTGACCTTCCCTCAGCAACGTGCAGGGGGCAAGGGGACAGCAGCACAACTCCCAGACCTTCCCAGCCCATCCAGCCACCTCCTAAGGTCCAAGGTCCAGAAGTCCTGCCGAGACCAGCACCTCCTGCCTCTTCAGGTCATTAAAACCTGCCTCTGTTCTTGGGGTGCAAGACAATACCCGGGGTACACAGACAGGAACATTTCTAGCACAACTCATGCATTTGATCAAGGTCTGAAACAGATCTGTAAATGCCTTCCTGCTGTTTTAATGAAGCAAAAACTAAAAATATGAAATCACAGACTGTGCAAAAAGATTTAACATGTTAACATTAATTAAAAAGGTCTGAGTAGCCCACAGATCATCTCAGTTCAGAAAGATGAAGACACTGAACGGCCCTGCAGACGTTTTATTCATTTCTGCAGTAAACAGCTTGGATGTGACGAAGCACCCCAGATATACAGGGTTACAAGACTCAAGCTTCAGAACTTTGCAGACATATTGACAGCTGAAGTGATCTGTCTCTCAGGACTTCTGAGTTTCTCTTTTTGTTAGAGCAAACTTCATGCATCAGGGAGTAACTTTTCACCATTGATTTTTAATCCTATACTATGCAGCCTGCACCTGGGGTATCAGTGCAGGCAGTTTCATTCATTTCAGTTTCAGAAGTGCCAAAATCACTGAGTAGGTCTCGTAATTCAAGATCACCGGATATTAAGGGTGGGCCTAAAAAGAAGGGAAGGAAGGAGGGAGGGAAGGGGGGGAAGGGGGGGAAGGGGGGGAAGGGGGGAAGGACAAGAAAGCCCCCCAAAACAAAAAGTTCAAAGTGAAAGAGAAGCTGTAAGACAAGTTGCACACTTCCCCTTTTTGAAAATGAGTAAAAAAAGTCTTCAGCAAGAACCGACAAGCAGGATGGATGTGATGAAGGAAGAGAAGCATCTGTGAAAGTCCCATGTATCATTAAGTGCCAAATACGAGAACACACGTGCACATACATGTACACACACAGACGAGCAGAGACACAGTTGGAGGTGAAAGGAAACTCCAGCCCTTTGAACCTTTCCTCATCACCTTAGCAAGGGGCCATTGGGTTTGGATGATAAAAGCAGGGCAGCAGCTCTAGTTTTGCCTAAGGATCTTATGGAACCACTATGGTTGGAAAAGCCCTTCAAGATCTTCGAGTCCAACTGTAAGCCCTTCAACAGCAGGGCTGCTAAACCATGTCCCTAAGTGCCTCATC